GTTTAGGGTTTAGGGTTTAGGGTTTAGGGTTTAGGGTTTAGGGTTTAGGGTTTAGGGTTTAGGGTTAGGGCCTTGTGTTTGCAGCAACTCGGATGATGAGTGGACCGTCTACCTGAACTCGCAGCAGACTCAGGAGAGCTGCAGCAATGAAGTGGTAAACCCTAAACCCTAAACCCTAAACCCTAAACCCTAAACCCTAAACCGCGGACGCTAAACCCTAGCTTTTGTTTCTCCAAGAGTTTCGCGCCTACGGCATTTATCTCCTCTGCAGCTGCACGAGTCTCCCCACTCACCGTACAGGGTTTCCAGTTCAGGGTTTAGGGTTTAGGGTTTAGGGTTTAGGGTTTAGGGTTTAGGGTTTGTGGTTTAGGTGACTTCCAAGTACACTTTGTGGAACTTCGTGCCCAAAAATTTGTGGGAGCAATTTCAGAAAACTTCAAATGTTTATTTCATTGTCATTTGCGCGCTGCAGTGCATTCCAGCCGTAAACCCTAAACCCTAAACCCTAAACCCTAAACCCTAAACCCTAAACCCTAAACCCTAAACCCTAAGCCTTGGGCGGCAGCCCTCTGCCGCTTTTTAGCGAAGAATGAACCCTCGCCCTTCCGCGGAACCGTTCGCCCGCTTAGACCCCAACCCCCAAACGCTAAACCCTAAACCCTAAACCTAAACCCTAAACCCTAAACCCTAAACCCTAATTTGGCGTTTCAGATATCAACTACCAACGGGACTCCAACTTTGGCGCTTCCGCTGGCCATTGTAGTTACAGTCAACGCATGCAAAGATGCTTACGAAGACATTCAAAGACACCAGTCCGACAGACTCGAAAACCACCAGGTAAACCCTAAACCCTAAACCCTAAACCCTAAACGCTAAACCCTAAGCCCTAGGCCGTGAGGCGTGGAGCCCTGCTGCCCGTGAGCCTCAAAGCCCAAACCCTAAACCCTAAACCCTAAACCCTAAACCCTCGTCGCAACGCGTTGTTCCCTGGGCTGTAGCTAGAGCGCGGCGTCGCGAAGCTTCTGGGAGGTTTAGGGTTTAGGGTTTAGGGTTTAGGGTTTAGGGTTTGCGTTGGGAGCAGGTGACGTATTCGTTGCCGCGTAGCGCAGCGGACTCCGCGGAGTTTGCGTTGCGGGAGGCGCGGCAGCAGCAGCAGCAGCAGCAGCAGCAGCAGCAGCAGCAGCAGCAGCAGCAGCAGCAGCAGCAGCAGCTGCTGAAGCTGGGTCTAATTGCCCGCAAATGGCGAGATGTTAAGCTGGGAGATCTGCTAGTTTGCTTCAAGAATGAAGCTTTTGCTGCGGATCTGCTGCTGCTGGGATCGGCCGATCCCAGGGGCCTCGCCTTCATAGAAACCAGCAGCTTAGATGGCGAGACCAACTTAAAGCTGAAGCAAACCCTCCCTTCTCTCAAACCCTTATTTCCTGCTGCACTTCCTCAAACCCTAGCAGCAGCAAAACTCCTCGACGGGAGGCTTTCCACCAAACCCCCTAACAGGGACATCACTGCTTTCGAGGGTTTGCTCTTCCTAAACCCTAAACCCTACTTCCGCGCCTTTTCCGGGCCTCTCAGACCCTCCAGGGGGCCCCCGGGGGGCCCCCCGGGGGGCCCCCAGGGGGGGCCCCCGGGGGGGCCCCCC